GGAAACTCTTAATACTATCATTTTTATATTCTTGGCTCTTAGAATCTAAAAATGCCCTTTACTTTGGCTCAGTCAGAAAAGGATCTTCAAAATTGCATTGCTGTGACTAGAGATTGCTTTTAAATTGCTTATTCTACGTGGAAATATCATGTATGAGATACAGTTAGAAGTGGATATGTAGAAAAACCATGTCCAGTAGGCCTTTGATATTTGCAATGATATTTTCAGGAACTTTTTGCATTTAGGGTATAAGTACCTCCATAAAATGTGGTCAAATTTAGTTGAAAAGTTTAAGCAATCCCTTCAGACTCTTAATGTTTCTGTAAGTAGAACACAGTCTTTAAAGTTGTGAAACAATTTTTTGCTTCTAAAACAAAGGCTAGATGACTTTGTCTTACATCATCAGTATATAGGCAAAGGTTCTTATTTTTAAGTCTAGTATCTTGGGGTTTGCAGAACAAAAATCATTTCCGTCACAAAGTTGAAGTTTAGTCTTTGGTCACTGTAATGCTTGCTGTTTGCTCCTGTTTCTTGGGTATGTTTTATCCTTGCAGCTAAACACTTCTGCTGTCTGTTTCCTTTCTGTTCTCTGGATATTTTCAGCTTGGGAGGATTTCCCAAGCTTCTTTTGCTGGGGGTTCTCTGGTTCATCTCATATTATACAAAAAAGTGCATTTGACACTTCTAGCCATGTTCAGTTTTGGTAACAAATGTGTGAGTAGCCACCTTAGCAGCTATATCACACCTTGCTTCTTGAAAATAATTTAGACAGTGGCCTGACTTTGTCTTGAATTATATTTCTTTCAGAATTATATGCTTTCTATGTATATTCTTACATAGGCTTACCATTGTTTTAATTTTCACTTAGGTTTTGCAAATTTTGCTTTGCTAAGAGCAAAGGAAACATTTTCAAGCATGATTGTTTTTGCTTGTTTCAGCAAAAAGGTGTAAGGTGGACTTAGCTAATGTGGCAAATACAGTCCCTGTCACATTTCACATTCATTCTGAATTTACTCCAAATTTATATATTTGATTAAGTACCATCCTTTATTTTTACTTTACTCTTTGCTTGTATGATTGAATTTACTGGCTAAAGTAGAGTAAGGAGAACTAAACAATGTAGTTGTTTCATAATTATTAGTGCTAACATAATAACATCATTATCTATAGATTAACATATCTATTGTATTCATAATATAACATAATCTAATTAATGATATGTTACTATCCCAGTTATTTATAAACAGTTATGTTGAATGAAGTATAGGAATCCTTGTCTCTATTTATATACAGTAGAAACTTTTAATAAGCAAGAGGATTTTATGCACCCACACTTTTTTTTGTTTTGATTTATGTATAGTCCTTTTTTCCTGTCCTCTTTAACATTTTAAACTTCAAGGTATAAACAGTTTCTGCCAGCAATAGTTTTTGTACATACTTTTTGATTTCTATGAATTGGATGGTTTGTGTTTTTTTCTGTGATTTGGAACCAATCTTAGGACATATCATTTATCCAAGTAGATCCAGTTGTAAAATGATACTGGGACTTTCATACTCTGAATCTAAATGGGAAAAGCCTAAATATAGTAAACTCTTAGAAGTTAGCTGAAAGATAACTTCCTTCCTGATTAGTTTCTATAAAAATGTTTGGATTCAGTCTCATCCATCCAAATCTGGTCACATACTCATTCCTGAACTAATGTTTTGGGAGAGGAATATGCTGATTTCCCAGGCCTGGGTCATGTACTACACCGGGAATTTTGGAGTGCTCGTGATTAGTGCTACCCAAACCAAGTGGATTAAAGACATGAGAAGGGGGGTGGCACCTGTGACTCAAAGGAGTAGGGCACTGGCCCCAAATACCGGAGGTGGTGGGTTCAAACCCAGCCCTGCTCCCCATCTCCCCCCCCAAAAACTGCAAATAAAAAAAACCTCTTTCCCTTGTGTTTCAGGCATATTAAAAAAAAAAAAAAGACATGAGAAGGGTAGTTCAAGGGAGGAATTTGAGCTGCTGATGCCAAAAGAAGAGAGGATAGATGCTTCAGAGTAAAACAACAACATACGTCTCTGCATATGCAACCCACACTCACTTAAAGAAAATTAGAATTTTATTGTACGTAACTATTCCTACCTCATCTATTTTTCACCCAGCATCACATTATGATGTTACTGAAATTTCTTTCTTCAGTAGGTCTTAGTCTTGGGGATTGGAAGAATGGACCAGGGACCACAGATCAGGAATTTATTATGCAGAAAAGAATACAGAAAAAGCACCAGAGCTCCTGGCAGAGGGAAAGACCCAATTTGGAAAATCTCCCTTGTGTAGGGTTATATATCGTCACACGGGTCCTTTGCAATTACATTTGGCTAGGACTTGGTAACAAATGAACGGATACAGTCCCTTCCGCTAGGGCAAGGTGAATGAGGGCATTAATTAAAGGATACAGTCACTTCTACTAGGGGCAATGAATGAGCTTTCCCTTCAGGAAATGATCCAGGCCTAGAAAATGGGGGGAGGGGGTCCCTGTACAGCCCCGAATGGGGCAATCTTGTATATCACCGTCTTTCAGTTTCAGAAGGTGCGCGTGTGCCCAGGAGGGCAGCTTCACACTGGTGGGCGCTGTGTTTGAAATAAGAGGCAAGAAGAGGTGGCTTGGGCAGCAGTACGGGCTGTGTCATAGTGTCCCTCAACTTCCTAGGGACCCGCGAGCTTCGTTCGGTTGGTCTCTCCCCTCTCAGCCGCACTTGGTTCTCCAGCCCTCGCCTCCCCGCATCCCGCTGCCCCGACACCCCAGCTGCTCTGCAGAAGGCGCAGCAGTTCCCACGGGCGGGCAGCCCAGTGTAGCCCCAGACCCGGCGCCACCCGCCCTGTATCAATGAACAATAATATTTTTTTTGAAAATACAATTTTAAATTATTGTAAAATTGTACTTACATTCATTGTTTATTTTTAGTCATTTGGTGTATCAACATTGGAGGAAGTGATACTTGAGCGGTAGAGGGAGTAGAGGTGGGAAAAAGACTAGGGCCGGACTCGGGTGAGGTTAGAGCTGCGCAGGGACAGAGCGGGGAACACTCAGTTTCAGAACCCCATGACTGCAGGGGGCACTTGCATAACTCTGGGAGGGTCTCCTTAGGTTTTTTACTTCTCTTGCCTCTCCCTGGTCCCATTTGTGAAGACAAGTGTATTTCAGGGAATAGGAACTATTTTTGAGTATGATGGTAAGAGATGATAGCCTGTGTAATTGGGAAGTTGATAGGGAGATTAAGGTGCTCTAGAAAGTGGTCATTATACATTTTTAGCTGTTGTGTGTGGAAACCTTTGCTGAGTTCTGATATGGATAATAATACCTTTGAAGTAACACAGAGAATATAATAATCTTATTCTTAGGTTTACAAAAGAGTTCCATTTAGAGATGTCACTGAAGAAGTTATTTACTTTTAACCCAAACCATTTCAGTATCAAGGAAGCTTGCTATTTTTTTTCATGGAAAAATTGAAAATTGTAGAAAAGACTGAGTTAGAGACAAACAAAACACACGGTGCTTCGGCTAGCTTTGTTGAGCGAGACAGTTCACCCTGCTCGTTACTGGGCATGAATCCCAGTTGAATAATTGTCTTTCTTATACTTAGGTCTTTGAAAATAATTATTTCTGTACTACAGGGAGAGACCAGAATATGGAATTCTAAATAACTCTTCACTATCTTTGCCAATAGAGAAGAAAGTCATAGAAATTTTCAAATTAAGTGAATGATCTAGTGATTTTTGGGTCTGTTTTTAAAGTGGAAATATATATATATACACACACACATCATAAAATACACACATGGATAGTGTATAATGTGCACATTTAGGTACATACTACATTTTGCTTCTCAGAAGTCTTTATGGCTAATACTGTTTACTGTATTTACTATATGCTTTGGGGGTTTATGAAGATACTGTATTCAAAGCAGTAATTACTTGCTTGGTGGCTACTATGTTGCAGGTTATTATGCAAGATGCTGACTATGTTAAGATAAAAATCCTTGTCCTCAATTATGTCACAGTTTAGTGGAAGAAGAGGGATGTAATAACACTTTAATTATATGTGGATTATATTTTCAAACAGTTGTAGCATTGGGAATTTCGCCAAAACTAAAAGGGGCAGAGAAGGAACTCTTTGAAAATCAGTGAAAGGTGAGAAGAGTAAAGGACTTGGCGAATATGCTCTATACACTGTGTTTGATCCTTTCCTGACCAGGTAATCTGGTTGGAAACATTTATAGAATGTCATCTGCCAGGGAAGTCAGGGGAATGATAGGAAATAGAATAGGCAAACCAAGAAGAAAAAGAGCTTGGAAGAAGGCAGGGTTTCATGATAAACCAGGAAGTCAGGTTTAGAAACAGGAGGGCCCAGGCAAAAATGGACAATGTGTGACAGGGCTGTAAACTACATATAATGACATCCGCGATGAAGACGAGAGCCAGTGAATATTAAAACTTCTTAGAAGGTCTCCCAGTTTCAAGGATTGAAGGGAGAACAGCCAATTCAAGGATCGTACTTTGGCGTACTAAATAAAGTACGTGAGACTCAGTAAGTATGTGTTTGCTGGAAGAGTCCTTCCCAACACTTCTCTAGCCTTTGACAAAGTTTTTATTACACACTTAATTACTTAGGCTGTAATAATATTTTAACAAGTGTAGTCCATTGCTGCTTCTTATGTGCTGCAAACTTAAAAGTTAATTTATGATGTAAAAATGGAGAAAAACATAAATTACCTCTATAGAATTGAGGGAATAAGTTGGAGGAGAAGGTAAGATACATGTTGGAAAAGTCGGGGAAAGAAAGGGGATGGAGTAAGCAGTGGTGGATATGTAAGTGTAGTATTCTTATTTTTAATGTGGTCAGTGTGATAAACCATCATAGCTAATTTCCAGTAATAGCCTATTACACGTGTGTACGTTTTTACCTCTCTCTCTAGTGAACAGTTCTGATTCCTTGAATTTCTTCTTGCAGCTCATGTTTTTTGGCTAGACCTGTGATCATTCTCATGAGACTTCACTGCATGTTTTTTCAGGTGTCTTCCTCATCCCTAATGTGTAACACCTCAACATGGACCTGCTACTTTAGCTAAGACATGGCCAGCAATGAAGAGCAGTAAGGTAGGATGACGTTACTCTTCTTACTAAATAACTAAAACACTTTTTTGTAATTGTGTCTTTTTTTTTTTTTTTGAGAATATTATGGAGGTATACATGTTGTTGTTACATAGTTTGCTTTTGTATATTTTAGTAAAGTTTTAAGTGTGCTCTTCACCCATGCAGGCCCCGGGACGAGTTGGCTGCTAAGCAGGACAGGCAGTGGCAAAAACACCGGCGGGCTGGATAAATGTCCTCAGCGGGCTGCATGTGGCCCACAGGGTAGTTGGAGGATGCCTATGGGGGACAGGTTAAAAAGTAACTTGAGAAAATAATTATGAATTATAATAAATTTTTGGAAGGAAAGTAAAAAAAAAACACCCCATGATTTGTTGATGAGGAGGTGGAAGCCACTTTAGATAGGTTCATACAAGGTCCTTTGAGGAGTTGGTATTTAATGTCAGTCATGTTATATGAGAAGGAGCTATTTAAAGAGTTACATGTGTATGGTTGGTTTTGATAAGGAATGCATTCTCTTTAGAAGGAATAGTGGGTGCCAAGACAATGAATGAAGAAAGAGCTTGGTGAATTTGAGGGATTAAAAAATCCATTGTGGCTGACTTAATGAAAGAGGCAGAGATGGGTAGGAAGAGGTTATAGGAGTATTCAGGACTGTGAAGGTTTTGGCAAGAAATATGCATCTTATTTTAAATGGTATCATTTTAATTGCTCCATGAGGAACGGACTGGCTGAGGTGAATATAAAACCTGCCCTTTAGGAGCTGAAGTGAAATAGTGGTGGCTTGAATGGAGGTTCTGGTAACAAGGAGGGGGATAGATGGATCTGAGATGCGGTTTTGGAGTTATGGGACTTGTGGACTATTTGGGCGTAGAAAAAGAGAATGAGTATACTCAGGGATGACTTCAAGAGTTTTGGTTTTTGAGCAGCTGGTTGCATGCTGGTGTCACATAGAATTTTTTCTTTGAGACAGAGACAGAGTCTTACTATGTTGCCCTCAGTAGAGTGCCATGGTACCACAGCTCACAGCCACCTCAAACTCTTGGGCTTAAGCGATTCTCTTGCCTTAGCCTCCCAAGTAGTTGAAACCATAGGTGCCTGCCATGCCAGGCTATTTTTTGGTTGTAGTTGTCATTGTTGTTTGTCAGGCCTGGGCTGGGTTCAAGCCTGCCAGCTCCAGTATATGTGACTGGCACCCTAGCCACTGAGCTACAGGCGCAGAGCCCATTCCAGGCTGTTAACCCAATGTTCTGGTATGTAATTTTATTGCTATTTTATTTTGGAGGTTGTCAAGAATCCTGTCATTAAATATATATCAGACTAAGCTCACTTGAAAGTGTCTAGCTTGTCTAAACTTGTAGCAGTTTCATTTATTATCTTTTAGGTTTTGGGCGTCATCACAGCATCAGCCTCTTAGGGTTGATATTTAGGTGCAAAATGAAATGGAACAGATAATAAAATCTTCTAACTCTGTGGTATTTCTTCTAAATTAACCAGTAGTCTCCTATATTTCTTTTGTTTTTTCTCTGAGGAATTTTTAAGATGTTTTCTCAAAAAAGAGCAGTTAATGTTTGTTCTCTAAATAAGAGGTGTTTGAGTGGCTGTTTTAAGTCATTTATTTTATTTTATGCTTACAGCAGTCCTGTGAGTTTTTCTACTTTGCATATGATTATCTTTTGAGTTGTAGAGCTGAGAGGCAGCAGTAGAATAATGGAATTTTATAGCTGGAGAGCGCCTTCGAGATAGATATCCTACTTCCTTGAACTTCAGCTGGTCCGTAGAGAAGTTCTGTGACCTGCCCAAGGTTAGCGTGTTTTTATGATTGCTGTGATCAGTGCTACTTTTACTCTTCATGTTTTGTTTAAGCTGGCCTCTCATGTTTTCCATCTTCCTGTCCTTTCAACTTTTAATTTTGAAAATGTTCAGTGTTGCTGAAAATTTGGAAATAAAGGACTGTGAACACCCATGTTACCGTCCGTATACATTTACTCTCTCAACATTTTGCCACATTTTCTCTTTCTTTACATATTTATATATTTTTGAAACCTTTGGAAACTATATTGAAGATATCATGATAATTTAAAATTTTAGCCTACAGATCTTAAGAACATGGATAATTGCTACATAATCCTGTTAGCAATATTTCAGTTATAATTTATTTAGACTGAGTCTCACTCTGTTGTCCCAGGCTAGAGTGCCATGGTATCAGCCTCGCTCACAGCAACCTCAGAGTCCTGGATTTAGGTGACCTTCCTGACTCAGCCTCCCGAGTAGCTGGGACTACAAGTGCCCACCACAATACCCAGCTAAATTTTTTTTCTACTTTTATTAGAAACGGGTTCTTGCTCTTGCTCAGGCTAGTTTCACAAATTAGCTGTGTGTCATGGTGGGCATAACACTGGGCTTTTTTTAGAGATGAGATCTTACTCTTACTCAGGCTGGTCTCTAACCCCTAAGCTCAAGTGATCCTCTACCTTAGCCTCCCAGAGTGTTAGGATTATAGGCATGAGCCACTGTACCAGGAAATGTGCGTCATTCTTGAAAATAACTGCTCACAGGGGAGAAAAGTGGGGGTTCAGTAAGTTCTCACTTAACAAGGTCAGCGTTCTTCATGGGTGAAGGACTCAATTATAATTTGTACTTTACCTTACCACGGCAAAGAAGGCCCAACTGTATGTACCCTCATATTAATCTGAAATAAAAAAAAAGAAAGTAGTTGTTCATAAATGTAGGTATTGCCAGAAAACGATGACATGAATAAAGTATGATTGTGAAGCCAGGGACATTTGTCTCTGGGAAGACGGACCTGTAAAAGTTCAGTAAAGAGACATGATCAAATTTTTCTTTAAGTTGAATGTCAGATTGCAGCTATGTGCATTCCATTTGAAAATTGGCAGGCGACATATTTATGTTGATTGAAAACAATTGCAAAAGTGCCAAAATGTTTATTATTTTCCTGGAAATCTTGAAATCTTGTATGAAATCGAAAAGCAAGGCTTCATGTTCTTTGCTGCTCACAGGACTGTTTAGCCACCATGTTGAAATGCATAAAATTGGTTGCCTTCAGTTGAGCTTGCCTCAATTTCAGATTCATTTGGAATGACTGTTAACAATCTGAAACATTGGGGGTGGTGCCTCTAGCTCAGTGGGTAGAGTACCAGCCCCATATACCAAGGGTGGCGGGTTCAAACCCGGCCCTGGCCAAACTGCAACAAAAAAATAGCCGGGCTTTGTGGCAGGCGCCTGTAGTCTCAGCTACTCAGGAGGCTGAGGCAAGAGAATCACCGAAGCCCAGGGGTTAGAGGCTGCTGTGAGTAGTGTGATGCCATGGCACTGTACTGAGGGCGATAAAGTGAGACTCTGTCTCTAAAAAAAAAAAAAAAGACAATTTGAAACATTGGTTTGGTAAGTTGGTTTTCACCTTGAAGACACATGTTTAAAATCATTGAAATGAGCAGATGAATCCACTAACAATTCTAAATTTGTAAACCAGTTTTCATCATCAAATTCTGGCATAAATTCGGGTTTTGGTACCATAAATGACTTGATAATATGTCTCAAATCATAAAATCTTTTCAACATTTGGCCCTGACTTAACACAGTCAATATCAGTAGTTTTAGGGAATTCCTAGAATTGGTGATGATTCAATCCTTTGGCCCTTCTGAAATTCACAGTCTTGATGATGATTTGCATGACATTATCTATTTTTAAAGGCTTTGTGCATCAATTTTCTTGATGTGCTATGCAGTGTTGGGTCATCAGATGTCACTCTGGGCCGCAATTGCATCGTCTTCCATTAATTTTACAAGTCCCTCCCTTTTACATACCATCGCTGGAGCACCGTCAGTAACTATGCCTGATATGTTGACAGTGGAGAAAGAAAATGGCTTTAATATATTTTTTACTGCTTCATATAAATTTCTTGATTTAGTTGTATCTTTTAATGGCACTAAAGAAGCCATTTCTTCAGTGACATTCTATTCATCATCAATACGTGTACCTCTGATAAAAATGACAAGTACCTGTATTTGTAGCATCAGGGCTGTGATGCATCACCAAAGCATAAAATTTAAAATTAGCAGTTTTACTTTCTAAATTTCTTTTGGTAGATTTTCTAAATTCTTCGATTTGTCTGGCTATAGTCTGATGAGACAAACTGATTTTAGAAATATCCCCTTTTTTTTCAGGACAAATTAATTTTGTCTGCCATGCTTTCCATGCATTGCTTAATAAACTCACCATCAGGAAATGGCTTGATTTTTTTTTTTACTATTAATTATGCTACCATATAACTAGCTTTTACAATGGACTCTTCCTGAGTTGTAACTTTTAAAAACATTTTTTGTTGAGGAGATAGACTTTTTTCAGTTCCACGATTTTGTACTTATGGCAGAATCCTTCATACATAGTGCTCATTGAATTTGGCAGCATGCTTTTGTATATAATGCCTTTTCAAATTACAGTCTTTGAAAACTTGGACAAATTCCTTGCAAATTAACCAAAGTGCCTTATTATTTGCCTTCTCAGAAAAGAAGTCATCTGTCCATTTTTCACTGAACAACCTTCCTTTATTCATAATTTTTCTTTTTTTGGGTTCTGTTTTCTTTTGATACATTGTAGAAGCCATGCTGTTATTAAAAAAATAATAATAGATAAGAGGCTATATTTACTTTTATTATGAAAATTAATTGAGAGGAAAATAGAAAGCAAGGTTCCCATCTCAGGTGCGGATGCAGGGTGAGGGGAAGGCCAGTTGTAAAGCACAGTGGGCGATGTGTGAGGCACCACTGAGGTGTGGAAGCACCTTAGTAATCAAATAAGAATGCTCACTGGACTGCTAAGTAACATTACATGCCTAACTTGCAATGGTAGGTTGAAATGTTATTGATAATTCCTGCCTCACCATGTCACCACGAACACATGCAATGTCTGATGGTGTCTGTGCCATGTGCGCAGACATCTGCGAATGTCTGATTCGACTGCCTGCACCAGGAAGACAACACAC